CTTCCACGACCTCTGAGTTGCTTCGGTTTTCATATGGGATTTTACCTTCGCTGAAGACTTCCCACATTAGCACACCTAGAAGCAACAGTGAGCAGAACAACACCTAAGGGCAAGTGCACAAGTACCAAAAAGACTCTTCTACAAATGACGGAGTCCTTGGAGTTAGCATCCAAGTCACCCTGTAGACCGCTACAAGTACAGTATCTGGCCACTGGAGGCTTATAGGGCTGTCCCTTAATTTTTCCATTGATCAATTAACTGTCTTATTTTAAAGGATTTATTTTTTACTTATGTATATGTGTGAGTTTCTATGAATGTATGCCATGTGTGTGCAGGTGCTTGGGAAGTCTACAAGAGGCCACCAGATCTTCTGGAGAGGTTGTGAGGTGCATATGAAATGAATATATGACTAGACTTTGGTTTCATTCCCAAGCTCTCTCCCTCTACTCTTCTCTCTCCATAGCTATAAATACATACACCTGTATGGAAATAACTTTAGAATCTAAAGTCTAAACCAGTGTGTGTGTATGTGTGTGTGTGTGTGTGTGTGTGTGTGTGTGTGTGTGTGTGTGTGTGAGGCATTTCATACATGGAATCTTAACTTGTACTGTAGGGACTGAGGAGAACGTTCCTTCCGGTAGTATGTTTCCCCAACTCTGCCATTTTTAGGGAGGCTGTCCCAGCTTTGTCTTTATCATGTACTGACAGATCACAGCTTCCCAGAGAGGAAGGAAAGTTGAAGACACCCTAATCAGAGCTTTGCAATGGGTAAGTCCAGAGGACTGTAGGACAGAGTTTCCCAAAGTCTGTTCCCTAAATATGCAAGCAAGAATCAGCTCCCAAATTTGTTCAAGTGGCAGACTTCGGAACCCCATCCTAAAATCCTGCTCCTGGGGTCACTATCCTACAGGCTCCTCTGAGGTGCCCAAGGACCCTGGAAATTCAGACTCTGACTATGAAGACTCAGTATTCCAGGATGCCAGGATTTCTAGTGAGATGCCTTTTGAAAGTGAGTGGTCATCGTTGCTGAAACACAATTTGGGGTGATCACTTTAATATGAACCGTCTGAAGCATGGATGTTCACACAGGCTACTGACTTGTTTGAGAAGCCAATTAGGGCAAACAAACAAACAAACAAACAAAAAAACCAAACAAAAACAAAAACAAAAAAACAAAAACAAAAACAGACTTTATTTATGACAAAGCCCCCTGGGCTTAGGCAGGCAGGAGGCTCTCAGGTCACAGGTTGTTGAAATTTGCATGCTGCTACTGGTTTCTTTCTTTTTCCTCCCTTCTTCCTTCCCTCCCTTGAAACAAGATTTCTCAATGTGATCCTGGCTGTCCTGGAACTTACTCTGCAGACCAGGCTGGTGTTGAACTCAGAGATTTGCCTGCCTCTGCCTCTGGGAAGCTGGCCACCATGTCCAGCTGCAGCCACCTGTTTCTGCTCTTCATCTATGTCTATCAAACCCATTCCTAGACTGCCTTCAAACCACACATCTCAGGAAGGGATGGATGCATTTTAGACTAATCTGGAGAATAGCAGAAATCCTCTGGCTGATGTACTATGATGTCATAGCCTCCATTCTGAGTCTGCACATGGAGGTACAAGTATGGCTAGCATATTGAGTATCTTTGTGAGGCCCTGCCTTGACAGTGTCTGTAGCTCCATCACCCACAGAGAGATGGCCACACACTGGCCCTAGCCATCTTCTATACTTGTGCAAAGACGATGCACAGAATGATTTCCCCCAAAGTTCATTCTGTAACTTGTACCCAGTTAACAGAGTAATAGCCAATCCTGGAGATGGGGTGGAATTAAGGAACTGATGAGAAAGATTCATAATTAACAAGTTCTGGGTTCCGTTAAAGAAGCTAGAAACAAGGATGACTTATAGTTGACACGTTTTGGGGGGTTTTGGTTTTTTTTTTTTTTTTTGACACCATATCTTTCTATATAGTCTGGTTGGCCTGATATATGTACACCAAAGATAACCTAGAATTCATGGCCATCCTGCTACTTCCTACTCCCACAGGCTGGGATACATCCTTTTAGAACTTGCTTATTTTATTATTGAATTGAAACTAGGCTTCCTATGTGTATCCTAGGATGCCTTCCTCTTGAGTTTAAGAGCCTCCTAGAACCCTGGGATGAGTAGGATCATCTAACTTGACTTCGGACCTGACACTTCAGTCACTCTAGCCTGTGTCTTCCTGCCAGCTGCATGTAATTCTGCCCCAGCTGCACCTACCTGATCTTATGGTCGAAGGAGTTCCCACAGAATTTAGAGCATTCCATGTACAAAGATATAAGGCTGTCTTATTTGGTGTTAAATTCAGGCTTTCTATGTTTGGTCATTATAGAGGCACTACTAGGAGGTGTGGCCTTTTCAGAGTAGGTGAGGGCTTGTTGGACAAACTGTTACAAGAGCTGCCATAGTGGGAGGGCCTAGGCCCTGCCCCAAATGACTTGACAGATTTTGATGGGAGGGATGTGGGGTCCCAGGCTCTGGCTGTCAACAGCGCCAGGAAACTCTGGCCCACTATTGTATTGTTAATGTCAGCAGGGCTACTTTTGTTTACATGGCCTGAGGGTAATATGCCTCTTATTTGCATCTGTATGTGCCTAAACATCTGAATAGGCCCTCACCTGGGCGGAGGGCAAGAAGTAAGTGAGTTAGGACCGAATGGTGAGGAGCGAAGTGGGTTAGCAGAGAGAGTAGAACAAAGAGAGAAACGGTTGCCTCGTAGTATTAGCAGGATGGCTAAGAGACACCAGAAAAGATGACTAATAAAGAAATAGCTCTAGTTCCACAACATGGAACTGAGAGCTCTCTGAAGATGACAAGATGCCTGTGTTTGGTCTTTATCACCATTGGGTTCCTAGAAGCTTCCAGGTTTACACACCCCGACTCAGGTAGAACCTCATGGCTGTCGTGGTCTAAGGCTGAGACATGCTGGGCCACGACAGAGGGAGAAGGAAATTAGATTGTTTCAAATTTAAATCTAATGTACAAAATCATTTCTATTTAAATAAAATGTATAAAATTGTTTCCAATTTAAATAAAATTTATGAAGAAAAAAAAAAGTTCCGGGTTCTTGGGAATGGGTATTCTACAGTGTGAAGAAAATTCTATCACTGGTTCTTATCCTGGGATATCTGATTGGTTAGTATGTCCCTTGCTTTGTGCCTTAGTAAACTTTTCCTAAAGAATGGCAAGGTTAACCTGAAGCAGTTTCTCTCCAAAGTTCCCTCTTTACAGCTATCATCGTATCACAGAGGTTATTTGGTACATTTTCATGTACACTGCTACATGCAGAAATTATGATTTAGGCTGACATCAAACCCAGCAAGTCACTTAGCCTTTCCTACATGCTGACATCATCATCCATCATCCATCCATCCAGTCAAGCCCACCAACTGTAACTGCCTTTGTTATCCCTCTAACTCAGTAACTCCTGTTTTCTGGACACAACTGAGCTTTTACACTTTATAGTCCCTGTCAAGGACACAGCTCACCATGAGTATTTGAATGGAGACATTTGTCCAAGAGGTACATCCTAGAAAGGCCTTTCCAGACCATACTAGTTAAAAGAGACCCCCCCTCCACCCTAAATACTCCCTGTACCATTGCTGTTTTATTTGATTTATAACACTAACTGACCCAAACCTGACTGAATTTTCTAGCTGCTAGCTTGTGTGATAGTTGTCTGTCTCCTCCAAAATTTAGCTTCAGGAGGACATAAGTCTCTTGTGCCCTGTGCCCTCCTGCTCCTCAGCACCTTGGAATTCCAGTAGCCCTGGAATATATCAGACACTCAGTAAAGCACTGTTGAGTAACAGATGCTTACTGAGGACTAAGTATAGAGATATGATGTTGGACATGGCATGGTCCCGCTTTCAGAGGCTTCATATTCTAATCCCCTGACTCCTCCAGCTTCCCAGATCACAGAAGTGACCACAAGACTTTTCCCCACTCTGATCTTTAATTTCTTAGCTGTTCCAAAGATCTCTAGAAACAAATGCAATAATAACAGCCCCATTTGAACACTTCAGGCTGATCCTACACAGGCCCTCAGTGGGTTCTTTCTCCATTCAGGGGAGAATTGTTGGCATTTGAGAAGAAAGAGCTGGTCCACAGTTCCAGATTGCACAGGGGTGGGCTAAGGATGACACTCACCAAATGACCACACATCCGACTTGCTGCTATAGCGACTGAAAGAGAACACTTCTGGGGATGCCCACTTCACTGGGAATTTGGTGCCGGTGGAGCTGGTATACTGATCATCAAGGACGAACCTGGGAAGAGGTGAGGAAGAGGTCAGAACACTCCAAGATTGAGTGTCATTCTTCAGAGTCTGCTGACGCTGAATCCCTGTGTTACCTTGTCATTCCGAAGTCAGACACCTTGATGACTTGGTTTTCTCCCACCAAACAGTTTCTGGCAGCCTAGAGGAGAGACAGATAGGCAAAGGAGAAATGAAAGCTGTGGGGATAGCCAGTAGCCGAAGAATCTCCCACTCTTAATGTTTGCCGTGCTGCTGTACAAAGGCAGGTCAAGCATCCCCAAAACCCTGCTGAGCTAGCAGGAAATTCTGCCAGCTAGCTGAACATTGAAGCCCCTTTCCCAGGATGAGGAATTTATCTTCAATCCTGATCCTAGTTATTAGAGAAATCCAGTGTTGTCCAGCCAGTGATTCACTGGGATGCAGCCTGATGTGGATAATCAATGCTGACATGGATGCTGACTGCAGTGTCTCCCTAGTGATTAGTATGAAAGTGTTCGGAAACTAATCCTTTTAAAATTACCCTAAATAGGGGGAGCCACGGCCACTCTCAGTATCTCAGAAGGCAGTCTTGGAAGAGCCCTGGGAGACTGGAGACTAGATGGGCTCACACTTCAAAGTGTCTCCATGTGCACCTGGGGACTCACATGAATATTCATGAACCCCCACCACCATAGGTTCCCGGGCTGTTTCTCAGGTTATCTAGTGCCATTTCAGTAGAAAAGCTGTATTTCAGTCCAAGTGCCCATCAGTGAGAGAAGGGGTAAAGAAAGGGTGGCGTGTATAGCCCGGGGGGAGGGATTTATTCAGCCATAAGGAGGAATGAAATGACATTAGTTGCTAGAAAGTGGGACAGAGCTGAGGATCATCAGGTTATAGCTACCCTTAAGGACAAATAGCATGTGTGTTTTATCTCATACGTGGTACCTAGATCAAGAAATAAATACAACATGCAGGCAGAAATGAAGAAGGGAGTCAGGGAGATCAGGGACAAAAGATGGTACAGGAGAGCTGAATACGATCAAAGCATATGATATACACTGAGGAAAAGTCATAAGCGAACCCCTTACTTTGTACAATTAACACATATAATTAATATGTTTTACAAAATAAAACTGTCCTTGCCCATTTCCTTCATTTTTCCATGGGGAAAAACGAGGCACAGGGAGACTAATAAGGAGTGATTGTAAGTTCCACTTTGGAAGGACGTGAACTGAAACTCAAATGCCAGCACTCAGGAGGTGGAGGCAGGTGGATCTCAGTGAGCTTGAGGCTGGCCTGGTCTACAGAATGAGTTCTAGAACAACCAGGACTGTTACACAGAGAAACTCTGTCTCAAAAAACGAACAAGCAAAAAAGGACTAGGGTGTAGTTCAGATCTGAGTACTCCTAAAACACGTCCCTACTAGGGACCTTCTGAAGTGACTGGAGTAAGAAGAAGCTGAGAGGAGGGGAGGCTACATAGGGCATGTCATTTAGTGATGCTTTCTCAGTTTTGGTAGTGCTACGTTTCAGGGGAAGATGTTCCTTTGTCTGTTCTTGCAGGTGTTGGCCCCAGGCACTTGGTCATACCAGGTCTCTGTGGATGACACAGGCCTTTTCCAGGTAGGCCATGCCCTCACACACATCCAGGCACATGCCCAGCAGGGTCTCTGCAGCAAAGAGTCCCCGTTGACTTCGAAGGTAATCAGACAGGCAGCCATGTTCCATGAACTCAAACACCAGGCAGATGGGGGCTTGCTCCAGGCACACCCCATAGAGCTGTACCAGTTTGGGATGAGAGAGTTTCCTGGAAGAAAAAGGCAAGAGAGAAGATGACCTAAATTCAGTCTTGCAAAAGTGCTGAACATATTGTGGCACTAAGGTAGATGAAAGTCACTTTACCTGGCTCTGAGAACAGAACCAAACCCCAAACCCAAACCAAAGATGGTCATGGAGCCAAGGTCTGAGGATAGCAGGGAGTTAGCTGGTATGAATGAAAATGGACAGAGGCCAGTGTGGGCCAGATGGGAGGAGAGATGGAGGGTCAGACCACACAGCAGGTCCTCTAGATCATGCTGAAGTGCAGCCCCATGCACGTGTGTGCATGCGTGCATGCGTGCATGTGTGTGTGTGTGTGTGTGTGTGTGTGTGTGTGTGTGTGTGTGCTCGCGCCCATGTGCCAAGGTTCAACGAGTGTTCTTGTGGCACTGTCAACCTTTTCTTTTTAAAATTTTTTCTTTTGAAAACAGATGTTTTCTTCTCACATAAATATATCCTAATTATGGTGTCCCCTTCCTCTGCTCCTCCCTGTTCTTCCTCCCCTCCCATCTGCGTCCACTCCATTTCTGTCTTTCACTAAGGGATAATAATAAAATATAATAAGACAAACAAAAACTAACATTAGAGTTGGACAAGACACAAACAGAAAGTAAAGGGCGCAAGCAAATGCACAAGAATCAGAGACCACTTGTTCACACACCCAGGAATCCCATAAAAACACTAAGGTAGAAGCCATAGTATATGTGCAGAGGACGTGGTACAGACTCATGCAGACCCAGAGCCTGCTGCCCCAGTTTCTGTGAGTTCCTATGAGCTTTGCTTACACTGATTTAGAGGGCCTTGTTTTCTTTTTATGGCAGTAGTGACGGATGTGTACTATGTGTGTGCTGTGCTGATCTCTTAGACCTGTAGTTACAGATGGTTGTGAGCTACAAGTGCTATTAACCACTGAGTTCTCTCTCCAGCACCCACCTTTTCATTTTTAGAAAAAGGATCTCATTGGCCTGGCAAATTGACCAGTCAAGCAAATAGGCTGGCCAGCAAGCCCAGGACCTGCCCGTCTCTGGCTCCCAAGCACTGGAATTCCAACTACAAGAGACCATGCCCAGCCATTTTTGAGTGGCTGCACTTCACCAACTGAGCCCTAATGAGGTTTCTGCTTTTTCTCTCTCCCTGTGCAGTAGGTTCTACTACTGGGGCATGACAAACATCAGAGTGGAGCTTATGAACACAGCCCAGAGCCTTTTACCCAGGGTGCCTGCACACCCCTGCTTTAACTCACATCATGACCTCGGCCTCTTCAATAAAGTCCTCCTCTGACATCGCCCCTTCCTGAATGGTCTTGATGGCCACCTTGTCCTTGTTGAGCCAATAGCCAAGGTGCACCAGCCCAAATTGCCCACTGCCAATCTCCTGCACAAAAGTTAGCTCTGAGGGGTGGATCACCCACTTCCCTAGAACAGAGAAAGAGAGGGAGGAAGTGCTTTTAGAGTGTGTAATTAATAAGGTATAGGATATATACACAGTTCTATCTAGCCTATGGCTATTATAACTCAAAAATGGTGTACGCTGATATAGGTAATTACTGTAAGGATGTTTTTGAAACTGTCATAATGTGGGAGGGGGTATGGAAAGAAAAGGAAGATGATGTAAAGTATGGTAAAGAATACAAATAAAAGGATCATTATAAGGTCCTAACCCTTTTAATTTAATTATTTTATTTTTTAGGCATATTTCTTTTTCTCTTGAGACAGAGTCTTACTGAGTCTTATTATGTAGTTCAGGATGGCCAGGAACTCACCATCTAGCCCAGACTGGCTTCAGTCTCCAGAGTACACAGAGGCTTGCAAATACCATGCTTATACTTTTATTGCCATTTTTTTTTTGCAGTGTTCATTGATTCACTGAGAGTCTCTCTGTGCTCATAGCACTCTGCCAGGCTTTGACTAGAATGGAGCCTGAAAAGGTGGCTTCAGAGGGGACTTGCACAGAGGCACAAGTGAGCTGTTTCTAGTGAGTCTCTTTTTTTCCTTAAAGGTTTATTTTTATTTATTCCTTACATGTATGTGTGTATGTCTGTGTGAATGTAAGGCACACAAATGCAGGTACCGGCAGAGGCCAAGAAAGGGTACTGGATCTCCTGGAGTGGGGTTATAAGTGTTTGTGAGCCACCAGATGTGGGAGCCTGGAAATGCACTTGGCTTCTCCGGAAGAAAGTAAGCACTATTAACTTCCCAGACATGTCTCCAGGCCCAGGGCAGGCTCATGATAAGTGTTTAATAAACAAGTGAAAGGACTCAGGCTTAGATTTTCCTGCTGATAAAGTAAGAGGGCTGACCAAATCATCTCTGTGATCCCATCCGGCAGGACCCTTCAGGATTTAGCAACACTAGAATAGCTTTCTTTCAGGAGGAGCATAACAAACATAATAGCCAGGTGCCTATCAACCTGAGGTACAGACCCAAGAGCAGACAGCACTGAGTATTCCCCGTGTGCCACACATGCTGCTGGCTGGATAGAAAGAGTCCACAGGAGTGATTCTCCAAGTATTTCCCTGGGTCTGAACTACCAGGCCGCTTGTTTATAATGCAGAGCCTAAGGGAATGTCTTGGTAAGCAGGAAGGAGTGTCCTGGAACCAGCATTTTTGATAAGTGTTTGGGAAGATTTTGATATACACTGAGGTTTGAGAACTACCAAAGGATACAAAATGAAGATTAGATTAAAGTCTCCTTTTCAAACAGCACAGTTTGGACCAAGGGACTTGAACTGAACACAGTGCCTCTAAGTTTTAGGTAGATAATCGAGGAGGGAAACCATTTTGGAGGACAGACATCATAGTAGGACCCACGGCCCTGGAGGTACAGGCCCTAATTAAAGGCATTAAGCAAACTTTTTTTTTCTGGTGCTGGGGATTGAACTCAGAACCTGATTTATGCCAGACAAGTACTCTGCCACTGAATTAAAGGCCCAGATCTCAAAAGTTAACATTATACTATGTAAATACTTCTAGAGGCTGATACCTCTTTGTCCCTTCAGGAAACCCAAATCCAGCAAGTTAGATTATAACAAAAGTTCCAGAAGGTAGATAAAACACAGTGCCAATGGTTTGTTTTCCAACATTTTCCAATAGCACTTAGTAAAGTGCTCTGTATAAAGTAGGTGCTCAATAAATGTTCTTGGACATTGATTTGGTCTTCACAAATGTGTAAGAACACACACATTTCTTACACAACTGCATATGATCATTATCCTACCATATCTCCAAGTCATCTCAAGCCTGTAGAACAGTTAGGCTAATGGCAAATCCTCTTAGAATTTGTCTGGGATATTTAGGTATGGGTGTTTTAGCTCAATTTCCCAGCATTTGCTGCTTACCATATCTTAGCCCTGCTGTCACTGGGGCTTTCTGCCTCCAGGAGCACACTGGGTACCGGAGTCGAGTAACCAAACCTAGGTTGGCAGAAAAAACAAAGACTGTGGTTAGGGCTTTGCTATAGCAACTGTCTAGGTTAAATCACCAGGAAAGGAATGATATGTGAAACAGCTACTTTCAAATTCCAAAGTTCCACCACTGTTTTCACACAGCCCTTAGAGGGTTCTTAACCACATGGCAGCTGATGTTATCTCTGTGATGTGCAGAGCAGATGTTTCTGGTGGTAGGCTACGGGGATCCTAGAGATTTGGAACTTTGTTTGCTTCTGTTTTTGTTTTTATTTGCATCTTGAATTACTAGTTATGGCCAGCTTGTGCAGCATGAAAAACCAGGTGGGAACTTTGTCATTTCTTCCCTCGTTTCCTTGTGAGGGTCCCCTTCTGGCTTTGTCCCCTAGAACTTACCTCCTCCATTGTACTGGTGATACTTGATGAGGAGAGGGATGGAGTCAAACACATACTTCTCAGCCACATAGTATCGCTTGGGGTTGTCATTTGTTTCTTTGATATGATAATGTTTTATACAGGGGTTCTCACTTGAAACAAATGAACACACAGTCATTACCAAGAAGCAATACTGACACATAAAGACATCAATGTCTTGGTATGGAAGCTCTCCCCAGGAGGACAGGTGCACGGTATTTCAGTGTATGTATATGCATCAGCTGGCACTGGTGCTGATGTTGTATTAAGAAACAGTTTAAGGCTGCATTTGGACATGAGGCGACAGTGCTGAGATGTGTTGGTGTTGGTAATACTTCACCCACCGCCACAAAATGTGGGAACAGCACTGTATGTGTTATGAGTACAAATGGAAACCATGCTGGGGTCCTCCATCCCACCCCAGACTGAATGGCTGTCATCAAGCAAATTGATGATAAATGCGGGTGAAATGTGTGTGTGTGTGTGTGTGTGTGTGTGTGTGTGTGTTTGGGAGAACCAGCCTGATGGGGAATGCAAACTAGGGCAGCTGCCATGTAAATTGGTAGGGAGGTTTCTCAGAAACTAAAGATAGAACTACCATGTGCTCCAGCTATACCACTCCTGGGGGGTGTATCAAAAGGACTCTGAGCCAGAATAGCATAGGGACTTTTTTGACCATGCATGTTTATGGCTGGACTATTT